AGAGAGAGAGAGAGAGAGAGAGAGAGAGAGAGAGAGAGAGAGAGAGAGAGAGAGAGAGGCATCAAAAGCACTGTTTTCCAAAGTATGAAAGAGATTCCAACAATTTGCATTACTTGGCCATCTGAAAATTGCATTAGTACTTATATATTTTTTTTTCAAATGTATATATATATGTAAGTACATCATGAACATAATTGTTTGCTTTTACACTTGTTGTGCTTCTATTTTATTATATTTTATCTCTGATGGAGAACCTTCGCTCACAAAGTCTTCAATTAACAGTTTAAATGTACTTTCAATTAACTTTCCATGCATATGTGTTTAATCGTCTATCGTTGGCATCAGTGATTGATTAATTATCAATCGATATATTAGATGGTCGTTGTAAATAAAGTGATTAATTTTTATAGTTTTAAAGGAATTATAATGTTAAATAAGAAAGAACCTTGAGGAAATATTCGTAAATAATTTTTGTACACGAGTGAATTATTATCAATGAAGTTATTCCGCTTTGATAAGATAAGCATGTAAAATATGCAATAATAGGAAACTAAACTAAATATATAGCAATTATGTACAATCTAACTAAACTAAATATGTATAGCAATTATGCGCAATCTTAAAATTTAAGATGATTGTATAATTATAAAATTACAAGTGACTAAAAAAAGAATTTTTCTTACCGACGTAATCAACCATCGGCAGCACGTGTATTTTACCAACCGTCAATGCAAAACATGTAATATCTCTGTAAAGCAATATATGCTCAATAACTGTGTCGATTTTATACTATTGCGCGCGCATACATTGTACTTAAAAACTGAATAACTTTTAATTTGTAAGTATTGGAAGACTATCTCGCAGAAACTTTACTTTTCTATTCTAAATTTTCATTCTTTACTTCACTTTTCTATGAAATTTTGTCACATTTTTGTATCTTTGTTTTTTAATTGCTAATATTAAAGAAGTTTCATAGAGTATATATTCGGGCTTTATGTAATATATATCTGCATTATAGTCTTCAGTCAGAATAACACAAGATAAAAATTAATTTTCGTGTATTTTTTAAGTATTTTTAACGTGTATTTTCTTGCTTGTAACATCATAAATCAAAATGGCCGCGGGAAAGAGCCAGGAACCTGAACTATTTATCTGACTAACAGAGATATGGTTAAATATCTGACAAACTTCCTTAATATAAAATAATTTTTATATTAATTCCTTATATATAATATAAAATAATTTTTATATTAATATAAAATAATTAATATAAAATATTTAATATAAAATAAATTTCTCATAAAAAATTCAAGTTAACAGTTTATTTCATCATTACCAGCGTAAATTATTGTCCCATGTATCATCTTTCTCCCCATAACAGCGTAATCATACATATAATCTTTCTCCAGAGAATGTGTAAAAATATATCAATGATAGTCGATAAGAGACAATGATCGTTCTGAAAAGACAAATGAAACAAGACATATCATAGTATATAATAGCAGTAAAAATTGAATAAGAAAGCTTTCATAGCTCATTAATCTTACATTTTTATTATTAAAAATTATGATGAATAATCTTACATGACCTCCAGTCGTAATCAGTAATATGATTAGACACTCACAGTCTCATAATGATATGCCAGGTTTCCGAGAATCTTATAAAGTGCAAATCAGCAATGATAATTGCGAACACATTACACGCGCACGCTTATAACGTTGCACATATCTCTGTTAAAAATGACGTATATTGCTGACTGTAAAAAACAAAGATACAAGAAGTAAAATTCTAAGCAAGACTGGATGATCTTTTTAAATAATCTGTGATATAAATCTTAAAAATAAAATAAAGAAAATACGTTATAATAATGATGTATAATGATACGATAACGGATCGATCGATTTCTCAAGTGGCAATTGATACAAAACAATGTTTTAGAGAATGTTCTTTTATAAAACTCACGAAATTAAACGCACGATCTCCGTTCACGTTTATATCAGCTTGAAATGAACTGTTTGTAGTACATTATTATGAGCCCAGCACAAACTGCTAAAAGATATCTCGTCCAAAAGACGTCCAAAAGACATCCAAAAAGAATAAAGGACATCTTTTGGACGTCTTTAAAACATCTTTTAGTAGATTGTACTATCTGGGAGAATACTTTCCTACTCGATTTTCAGCCGCGCGCTAATTTCTAATGAATCACAAAGTGTATGTATTATCTTGAGAAAACCTCCCGACACATCGAAGATGAAAGATATTACGATCGACAACAGTATCTTCATGAATGTACTCTGAGTCGGCCAACCGCTGACTGACACGAAGATCTTGTTAATATTAACTCTGTTTCATAGCCGACTGTATTACTTTCGACTTGTTTGTGCGCCATTTGTTCCTGTATCAAGATTCAGACAACGCTTCTTTGCTCAGGTAATATATGCGCTGTGGTTAATAACGCGTTACACGATCTTAAGCCACGATAACTACAGGTTGTCAGAGACCTGTGCGGGACGAGGGAGGATCTCATGTCTCCTATATTGATTTTTTTTCTTTTCCCGTTCTTTATACCCAATGAAAAATTTTTCATATATAATTATATAAAATTATATAAAATTATATATAATTATACATAATTATATATTATTATGTATCAAATTTGTTCATGTTCATACATTCATGTTCATACATTCATGTTCATACATTCTACTTATATACGTAATTATACATAATTATGTATAATAATATATATAAATTCATATATAATTTTACATAATTACGCATAGATTTATATGTAATTATATATATTGTTATACATAATTATGTATGGACAAATTTCATACATAATTTTGCATGAAAAATTTTTCATCGGGTAGCTATCGTGAAAATATCGAAAAATTTTACTCTAGGAAATATTAACCATTGCAGCACGCGAGTTATTCACGTACCTCATCTAGTCGATTTTAGTCGTGTCAGAAATTACGTGTCCTGCAATATATCTTGTGAATCTCTCTTACCGCGAGTTATATATAGATAGATATAGGATATTCTTCCTTCCTTCAATATGTGGCTTCCGGTAATTTAATATCTCAACGCCATTTACCAAAGATGCAGGATATATATTGCAGAAACGAAGTTGAATAGTACGAAGACTAACGCACTGTAAGATAAGTGAAAAATATGTAAGATACTTTGTAGGATATCTCGCTTTTTTGTGAAGATATTTTCAGAATAAATCTGTGTGTGTGTATGTGTGTAAAATCTGATCTTAAAATATAACCATTTTTCGGAAATTTTACCTTCATATCTTAACACGTAAATGGACAAGAAGACCTCTTTTATCATTTTGAAACTTCAAGATCGATATTTTTTTTGTTATATAGGAATTCAATGAAAATAATGAAAGGATTTGATTGCTATCTTTGATAATGAAGAAAAGAAACTTGAGACGTTTCATATACACATACGTACATATATACAAGTGAAACAACATGATAACACCAACATCATAAAGGATTCGACAGTCACTAGATTTAGGGTCACTAAAATTTTTCCATTGTACGTGTCGTCTCTAGATATTCATGAATCATGGCTGATGTTTAGACGAAGAAACTAAAACGATATTTGAAATATAATTAAAAAATTTATGATATTCGTAATATAAAATATAAATTAATATATATAAAAAGAAGTAATATTCAAGAGCGATTATTCTTTTTCCATACATACAGGAGTTGTATGCCAATAAAATTTTATAATGAAATTGAGTAATATAGGATCTCTTTTTTTAAATATGATCGGTATACAGATTGAGTATGAAAATATCGAGAGCATAATTGAATCGATCATCGATACATCGATCGATCGTCTCTTACTGCTATGTGAGACGTCCATCTAGTAGTTATTTAATCTTCTTTATACCGTTTCTAAACACTTACGAAGGCAAAACGTCATGTTGTTGGTTAATGTATTACGATTTGAATAATTATTTTGTGTAGATACATATTTATTTATGAAATATATTGACAACTTTGTCTTCAGCATTCTATTTTGTACATGAAACAAAACTTGTTCATTAGTTTACCTATGTTTAAAAGAGCGCAAAATCAGTTTGGAAGAGAGAGATGTGAAGAGAATTATTGTTACATTCGACGTGACAAAAACGAAGATTCTCAACGATCAGCACTATCCGACGTATCAAAGCTTACAAACTAATTACTGTTTTGTTATAAAATGGCCGGTAATTTTTGGCAAAGCTCTCACCAGTAAGTTAATTTTTTGTGAATTATATCTCTATAAACTTTTATTGTATATGTATATGAATGTGCTTCTTTACAATATACGTAAAATTCTTATATTTAATAGTCAACAATGGTTATTGGATAAACAAGATTTGGTTAGAGAACGCCAACATGATCTATCAATATTAACGGAAGAAGAGTATCAAAAGTTATTCATTTTTTTCTCTAATTGTAAGTTGAAATAACATTTACTTTGTAAAAAATTGCAGACTTATACTAAAGAGTTTACTAGTTAAAAATAATTTTCACTTATCGGTGTGTATCATATAGGTATATAATTCAATAATTTGCGTTGGTGTATAATTCAATAATTATGATCCCAATTTGATAGATTTTTATTTCTTAAATTAATCACTCTATTCTTCTACAGTTATTTGTTGTATATACAACCTGTAATTATTATTCTTTTATAAGAATGAAATTTTTGCAACATTATTATTTTTGGTATATGTCTGTGAATGTAACAGTCAATCTTCATAAATAATAATTTCTGAGTTTTACACAGCGATGTATAATTATATTTATTCTTAATATTATACAGTAATACAAGTTCTGGGAGAACAATTAAAGTTGAGACAACAAGTGATAGCTACTGCAACGGTTTATTTTAAACGATTTTATGCCCGTAATAGTTTGAAATGCATAGATCCTTTATTATTAGCTCCTACTTCAGTTTTCTTAGCATCAAAGGTGGAAGAGTTTGGAGTAATTTCTAATACTAGACTGATAACAATATGCCAAACTGTAGGTAAGTATAATAAACAGCTCCTTTTACAAATTATTAACGATCAATACTGCCATGGCATTTATCATTCTTTTTTCCTTATTTTCAGTTAAAAGCAAATTTAATTATGCGTATTCGCAAGAATTTCCATATCGTACTAATCATATTTTGGAATGCGAATTTTATCTATTGGAGCATTTGGACTGTTGTTTAATAGTATATCAACCATACCGTCCCTTGTTAACATTAATTCAAGATGTGGGACCGGATGATCAATTACTTACTCTTGCATGGCGTATTATTAATGATAGTTTAAGGACTGACGTGTGTTTATTATATCCACCTTATCAAATAGCAATTGGTAAGTGTAATGATTTTATCTTTGTACTTTTTCTAACAATCTAATATTGTAAGGAAACTTTGATTTGTTTTTCTCTTTCAGGTTGTTTGCAAATAGCCTGTGTAATATTGCAGAAAGATCATAAATCGTGGTTTGCAGAATTAAATGCAGATATGGAAAAGATTCAGGAAATAGCACGATATATAATAAATTTATACGATTTGTGGAATAGGTTTGACGAAAAGGAGGAAATTCAAAGCTTATTATCAAAAATGCCAAAACCAAAAGCTGCACCACAGCGCTGACAACAAGTTCTCTCTTCGCCAAATGTCTGGGATGTTGTCTCATGTTAAGTTTTAACGAATGTTTGAAACTTTGTCCTTTGTCTCATATGTTGCTATCGGATACATACAGAGATGCATTAACAACGAATATATTTCGCATTTATATCTGAATAAAAACATTTTTTATTCATATTGAAATTTGTCCTAAAAATAAGTCGCAAACAATGGTAATGTATTGATTGATATTTTGTTTTATACTCGACGTATTAAGGACATACTTTAGGGGAAGAAAATTATACCAATTTATGAATATTATATTGTAATTCATGATAGAAATAAAAAATGAAGTCTTTTTGGCATTGCGATTAGAAAAGAATTGCTTTTGCTAGTTTATTTCGAGGATTCGTTCATTCTCTACTTTTTTTAGGCACTTTTAAAACGACTTCTTTGTATTGTATATTGAAGAAATTGAACAGTAGTGTTTGTAAAATGTTTCTTCTTCGTTGCTGCGGCTCTTGCTCAAACATTAAGTTGAACCTTTCGAATAACGTTTCCAAAACTTTTTTATATCATCATGGCCTACTTTGGTAACTACTATAGTTCTCTTCCTGCGATATGAAAAATATTATATATTAACATTGACTACGACATTAACTATTTAATCTTTTAATATCTTTTTATATTTAATAATGTTCTGTAAAATAATCACAAACTACAAAGTCTTTTAATCAATACCTTTCGTTTTGCCAAATTAATACTCCAGTTGTAAGTGCATGATCTCTAAGAACTTCAAAGTCAGTTTGTGAAAGAAATTGACTATATAGAACTCCTTCATTGAATAAAAATCGGTTTCTTTCATTTTCCCATAGCATAATTTGATCTACAATAGTAGGAGGCAATATAGGTGTTCCTGCCTCTATCATTTTACCATGTGCATGTTGCTGTAAGTAACTGTAAATTGATAAGAGATAATGTCTACATAGTATGTATATAAAACAGTTTATATATAACTTATTTATATGAGAAATTAGATATTATAATCGTACCCTACTATTTGAGCAGCATTTATTCCACTTTTTAATGCTTGTCTTACAGAATCTCTTGTTAATATAGATACAACCAAATTAGGAAATCTATAATCACAAATGGTACATGAAGTTAATTTGAAGAATTTTTAGTCTTTGAACATTTTCTATCTTAATCTTTTGTAAAGTAACTGCTATGTCTATACCTATATAACATTTCGCAGAAAAGTCCAAGTAAAGCAACTTGCAAATTAGAATTTGTGTAAGCATATACACGATAATTTGTTTCTACAACTATATATCCTTCCTTATCTGTATCCCTGGTTAATGGCTTTGTTTCACCAGTAGCTATATTTAATGCTAACCGTGTAGGATAAAACCTAGAAACGAATATTAAATTAATTAAATCATAAATATTTGAAGTTTTGAGTGGTATTAAGTAATATTTTTTATTTATGTGAATATATATTTACCTTCCTGCTTTGCGTTTTCGTTGGTATACAAGTCCAAATTCTCTTAAATGTTGTAAAAATGTCAAGAGACCTTCGGATATACCTTCAGTACTATAATCTTTACCAAGAGTAGAAAAATTTAATTGAAACAAGAAAGTAAGGCATTCTACTAAATCAAGACCACGTGCCTCAATTGTGTCGAGATATTGCAAAATAAAGTACCATACCTAAAAAAAAAGTATTTGTAACAAATTATTGTATGATGATATTATCATCTGGTTATATAAATATTTCAAACATATTTTATATTTATAGATTTAAGAAAGAGAAAACTGATAAATTACCTGTGAAGCTGTATCTAAAAGTAAAAATTGGAAACCAGCTTGTGTTATAATTGGGCTTCCATCAGTTTCATCTCTCTTCATCAAGCCAGCATGCAATAAAATTCGAACAGCATCTGCAGATATACCTGTTGCAAACATAAAATATGTTGAAATAAAAAAAAATATAAATATATCCTGTAATTTCTCATGACTGTAAAAAAAAAATATATCAGAACTTTGTTACTGTTTATATATGTTAAATATTTTATTTGCATAATATACTTGTATATTGCTATATTTTTAGAAAAACCTAAGAAACAATTTTACCTTCTTGCTGTTGGGAACCAACCATGTAGTGTAAAACACATTCCCATCTCTCTAATGCATATGAATCCAAGAAAGCAACATCTCTTGGCTTACTATCAGTTTCCAATTGATTCGACATGGTCCATGGTCTACCACCTCCCAACAATACAATTTTCAAGTTTTTCTTGAAAGTATTGTTCAAAATCCAACCTGGTAGACCACCAGGTATAGATGCTTCTTTCCACACATACAGCTCATTTAAGATTTGCACTACTTTCTGATGCTCTTCAGAAAACAGTTTCGAACACCATGAAGCTATGACCGCTTGCGGCACTGGTTGCTCAACAAACAACAGTCTCATAACATAATGCTTGGCGATTATAGGTAATTCGCGATACACAGCCAAACATATAGGCGGCTTGTGATACAGTTTATTCAATGTGTCTGGAGGACGTGATTTTAAGTATTCATATAAATTTTTACACTGTAGTCCATTTGGTCGTAATAGGTTCTTGCCACTTATTGCATTAGACATTGTATTTTACGAGTAAATTCACGTATCACTACAAATAACACTTATTGGTATAATCACATCAATGTGTTATATTTTCCATAAATATAAATACAATTCGGATAATATTCAATATGTACTAAATGCATATCAGTTATTGTACAAAGTTTATATATTGAATATCTATTGATGTTACAAAATAAAGCGCATGTAAAACGCACAAAGTTGTTACTGCGATCACGTTATAGATTTGTACCTTCAAGCTTTCTACGTATTGTACTTCCTGCACTAGTGCATAAAGAAGAGTACAAGTAGTTTGGAAAAAGAACGCAAGATGACGCTAGGTCATCTGTTAACCGCTCGATTTTATTGAGCCTAAAAATTAGACTTGTTATTTTTATTAGTTCTAAAGTCTTTGCTACGAGCCGCCACTATCTTCAATAAAAAATTCGAGCACGTAGTACGACTCAATGAAATGTACTTTTATTCTTTTAAGTAGTAGAACTCAACGATAAATGAAACGTACCTTTGACTCTTACCGAATAATACATACAATTCAACAGGTTATGACTTCGAAAAAAATGATAATAATAAAGTGCTGCTAGAAGTATCTTGTAGCACAAAATATTTCCTTTTCAAGTATATTAACTTCGCTATTCTTTTTAGCTTAAATATTTGAAATTATAAGAATAAGAAGTAGCAGTTGCTTCATGTGTAACCTCACTTTTTAATCGAATCTACATTGAAAATTTATTTTTTTATCAAATTTGTTACAATTGCGTTACAACTCACACAGCAAGGATGTCCCAAATACATCATAGGGATATCTTGAAGATATCACATACTCCAAATATATCTTAAGGATATCTCTATGATATATTTTGGATATCTCTGCTGTGTGGGAAAGGAGAAAAATTAAGCTCCTATTTATCTCATGACGAATGTTGTACGCCGATTCCTTTACTTCGAGCAAACGATCGAAACCGGAAGGACTTTTTTACTTTTACGTTGAATGGTTCTCCAAAAAGAAATCTTATAACAATATATTGGTATGTAAACTGAAAAAAGGGATATACTCCTTATAAAAAATATATTATTTAAAACAATATGAATGCTATTCATATATTATATTTCGTTCATGCTTGATAACTTGACAAATCTCAATACAAATTTGGACGTTTAATAGATCGTGATATATATTCGTGTAACGCTGTAAAAAATACACAAACTTTATATTTGAAATTTCAAATTTTAAGCTACATTTTTACAACAGTATTTTTTAGTTGATACGTATTTTCGTATTCTATAATTGACATATATGTATATGTATAGAATTTTAACAATACTTTTTTGTTTTGGCTAAAGATTAGTCAGAATGGACAATCTGGAGCTGATATTCTCGCACTTCTTATTCCTTCATCACTTCGATTTTACAGACAATATCTTCACCATGTATTAGTAAAGAAAAGTGTTGCATTTTGTGTGCAATAGTTGATTGTGAAAGATATAATAGCGTCTTGCCTAGTGAGTAAAAACTCATTAATTTAATGTTACCAGAACAACACTTAGTCGTTGCTAGATATGCAGTTCTTACATTGTCATAAAATACGTTTGCATACCTTTTTATGATACTTAAAAAGATACATTATATTATCGAGTAATAATAGTAGACATTTTTCTACAGTATATTGCGTAAAAACATTGGAAAATGCATATGAAATGGACATTCGAAAGTGTCAACGTAATGTTTCTTGTTTACTAGGAATATACTTGCTAACAGCAATGTATGCATGGGTAGGACAAGAGAAAGAAAGAAGAAGCAAAAGAAGGTGCGCGCGAGAGCTATTTCTGTATACGGTGAATCGCAAGCGGCATAATAACGCCACGTTGTTACTTAGCGCGGCGGGATCCTGATACGAGGGAGCGGGGCTTCATAGGACACGAGGTCGAGTGCGATTAGAACGATGGACGTTTTCCGACGCTGTGTTCTTCCTCGAGTACTGTCAGCCACTTTCGCAGATAGTTTTACAAAGTTTTATCTAATTTAATCTAATTCAAGTTTTATCTAAGCTACGAGAAATTCATGATAAACGCGTAATCTTTGTTCTTGAAAAATTGGAATTGGAGGCTTTGGAAGGAAATTCTTAAATTCTATCGCTGACACACGAAGGGTTCTCTTTCTCTCTTACTCTATTTTTTTCTCTTTCTGTATCTTCTTCCTCGACTGTCGTCCCCATCGGGGGCTTTTGTATTGCCTCTCTGTCTCTGGCACTTCCTGCGTTCCGCCAACACATTCACCTGTCTACCGCCACCTGCCTTCGTAAGCAGCTAGGCGTACACGGCCGCTCATACCGCTGCTAAGCGTAATATCCCGCGGGACTTTAGTTTCGCCTAGTACGTAGTGGGGCTGTGTTCTTTCTCGCCGTACGTTCGCACGTTCTCATCCGGTGATGCGACTGTGCATTGTGCACTACGCAGTCAATGTTACTCAGTCGTTGCCTACGGTCGCGAACGAGTTTCCCTCTCCGTTTGATTAAGCGCGCGTTTTGTGTGTTTAGCGTTGCACGCGAGGGCGGACGGTCGTTCTCGCGCGTATTCACGATATAGATTCTAAGTTCGACGAACTCCCGGCTGGAGTATCGGCGAGGCGCAATGTCGCCTCTCCTCCGTCCGTGACTCTGAATTCCCCCGGAAATATCCGCGGCGCTTCCCAAGTATCTTCCTGAAAAATACTCGAAATCCCGACATTCGATCGGAATCGGAATCGCACAGTGCCGAATTAATTTTGCCGCCGTGCCGTAGCCGGCGTTCGCGGGACGATATTACGGTCAGGCGTGTTTTTACAAACACACATCGCGTTTAGCGCAACAAATTCGAAGTACATACATTAAGTTCGCGAAGGCAGTTTTTCGGGTAAAAGTAAATTTCATATAAACTTAAGATATAAAGAGAAAACTCAAAGTAAACGCATATTTCTCGCCAAGTATAATTGGAAGCGATCGAGACCTTAGATCGTTTCAAAGTGCCCAAAGTTCACGATAACGAAGCGTTCGTTAAAGAGAAGATTCAATTTTTCTTCGTCTCGATGGTCTGCTTTTGATTTTCGACGTGGACGATCCAGTACATCAACGTCAATTTATAATGTCAGCCGGATGTCTAAGACGGTAAGTTCGTGAGATCGATGCAATTTGTCTGAAAACATAGAACTGCATAAGCGTTACATACGTATAAATTATATTGATTGGTGCACTCGGAAAAAAACTCGTGCGCACAAGATGTATATAAATATTAAAAGAAGCAGTATATGTGCTCCTTTTGCGCGAAGAACGATTAAAGGAATTGAAGTTTTACTTGCCGTCCATTTATATCTGCCTGCATAATAGAGGATCGCTCGTCGGCATTTTCGCAAAGGCGATTTCGTGAGGCCTCAACTTTCTCTTATTCGCGTGTCATGTATGCGCACACGTGTACGCACACGTACACGTACGTAAGAGTTGAAGAGCGAGTGTAACGGATCGTCTCTCTGTCGATCGAATTGGGCAGCAACATGCGGTTAAAAGTTGCTCGCCTCTGGCTGCCACATTCTGGAAGCGACCGACACCTGCGTCTTAAGATTGCCTCAGCTGCTCCCCTTGTCAGTGGTTCCTTGATTATTTCATTAATAATAATTAAAATCTCGAAGTGTAGTCAAAATGATATATAGAATATAATTTCGATCTTATAATTATAAAATAAATGGGATCAACACGTCGGATCTCGAATTGTCACTCTGAAAAATCTGTCATCGTTCGAGCTTATTTCATATTCGAAGCGCCGCAAAAATCTCCTTTCACTTAGCTGTTTGCGACACGAGTCTTCCATCGTGTTTCTACTCTAGCTTGTACACTAAGGTTGATTACACAAGCACAATGATTAATGGCCATGGAGGTTCGTATGCAGATATAGGACGCTTATTTTCGATGGTTCTACAACGATTAACTCTTCGATCATTAAGACGATTACTAGTTATTCTTAATATCAGTAATCTTCAACTGATACCTATATCATTCTAAATTCATCGTTCATTCGTTAACAAGAAATAAACATCGGACGATTTGCAACTTCGCAAGTAACACACACAGAAGATAACAATTGAGAGTCGAGAGTGAGGAATCGATGAAAATAATATCGCTTCACACTTATGATGTTACACATATATCTAGAGGTACATCACATGCATGCCCATGATGAATGTATCGCAGGAGAGCAGATGTGGGTACCAGGAGGGCAGGAAGTTTAATTTTACACAAGAGGCAGCTGATACAGACACGAACACGCAGGCTTCCTTGCCTCGGGAAGGATGAAGGATATCTTTCCTCTGGCAATAGTGGTTGCTTTAAAAGCGCGATTAAAACGTGGGCCTTTATGTGACAACGTGGGCCTTTATGTGATATTGAGTGTTACATTCCAAGAGTGTATCACGAGCGAGGCATTGACCATTCCAAGAGTGTATCCTGTTTTCATGACGAATATACTTTGATAAATGTTTCATTCAAGATAAACAGCTTGCTGTGTCATCCTCAACTATCCATGTCCTGGATAGTTTCTGTGTCTATGTGTATAAATTTACCGAGATATAGTGTAGGTAAAAATCCGCGAAAGGATATCAGTATGCCGAGATGTGGATTAGGCGGCGTGCGAGCAACGCGAGGCAGAAGGCGCGAGAGGAGTCAGGAAAGCTGCCGGTCAGCGGACGAGAGAGGAGGTTTGCAGCTGCTGTGACAGCTGCACGCTTCCCAATATTATTCCCCAGGCTTTTCGTTCCTATTCTCCGCATGCTCGATCCCTTCCATCGTCTTGCCAGGTGCTTCTCGTATCGCAGCGCTTCGAAAAGTGCTTCTTTGTCCCCCTCGGGAGCGCCTCAGTTCGCTCCATCTGGCCACGTGCACGGATTCGTCCGACGAATCTTTCACGCTCGTGAAGATTCTTTGCTCGCAAGCAGCAACCCTTTATATCACCTGCGCTCAAAGAATTGCAAACAATTCTTTGGCCTTTATTTGTTATAATTCTACAAGTCCTATATACGTCATAACGACTATTATGGCTATACTAAATGTTGTGTGGAAGATCGATGAGATACGAACAGATTTTCTATCAATCGCCCACTTCTCAATCTTACAAAGTTCTACGAAGGCCTTTATTTTAAATACTCTTTTACTTACTTTTAAAATGGTTTCTAAATGTGGCTTACAAATTTTCTGATTGGCTTTCAGTCACATTTAGAAGTACTTTTATCGATAAAAAAAAGTCTAGACTTACGGATTAGACGTAAGGACCTCTTACGAATAAAAGTGATAAAAAATAGAGAACAAGTGTGAACATGGTTGCGATACATTTCTTGCGTTCCAAAACTGAAGTGACTCAATGACATAGTAAACGTCTGCTCGATATGCTTCGAGATGTATCGCGCTCGTACGATCGAATATTCATCCGGCCGTTGTCGGCTTCGGCAACTTCGGTCGATTTCAGCTTCGAGCCGGTGCCCAACACGTCCACTGGGACGCGAAGATTTGGAATAACGTGGCACAGCCGGCCACTGGTCGTGAGGAGCGGACTTCTCTGACCGATCATCGGTGGGGGGAAGGTCGAAGAAGGCCGCAGCTGGCTAGATCCGGTCCGCGCACAGTTGAACGCACGGTGCATGCCGCGACGTATAAGCCTGGCGACGTATGCGTCGTTTTTCCCCTTCGCTACTCCATAAACCCGCAGTTGGCAACACACGAGTCTCTCTCTCTATCTTTCTTTCTCTCCTTTTCGTTCACGAATATAGTTCTTTGTCTCCAAAAAGGCCTTACTGATCGTTTTCTCTCTACGGTTTTACGTCGTCGCGCACACGCTTTACTTGGTTTTCTTCCTTTCCGGCAACTTGTCGTGAATTACACAATATCAAGAAATTTCACGTCAATCAATCGAGAGCGGGTATCTCGGCGGCTGTAAATTAAAAGGTCAAAAATTTTTAATTTTCTTTTAATTATGTTCTTTTAATTTCAGAGACGGACAACTGAAGAGCGAATACTTTTAAAGGCATATTCATGACTGCGTGTAGTAGGATCTCTCTAACTCGCTTACCTTCTGTGCATTCCTGTTTTTGCACGTATATACTCCTTCATTCACGACCTGTCTCTCCCACCCTTTTCCGCTTCTCCTGACAGTGCTTCTCTCTTAGTTATTGCCTGAAACGAGAGCTTATTCTTGCGGAAGTGTTCGTGATGTTAGCCTAATGATCGATGTCAAGTCACGTCAGTGACTTTTAATCTTAACTCCTTTCCTCAACTTTGATATCTTGTTTTTCTCACTTGATATCTTACCTTCTCTATCTTCGAGTTATTTTTACCTCTGTCTGAAAAGTAAACGCATTAGTCAGTCAGTTATGTCAAGTTAAAGTTCAACGACACTGATGAAACCGGCTGTGAATTTGGAATACCTGAAACGATACCGAGGTGTGATTTGTAAAGCATTACGCTCATCGTTCTCATCATTCGGCATTCACGTCTTTTTTTCCTTTGAAAAAATAGAAATTGTCTAAGACATGAGACGAACGACAGATGTGGAGGCTAACTCGACTACCTTCTCCGACGTCTGCGGAACGAGAAGACCCGAAGACGATATTTGTCTCGTTGCGCACCATCCTTCGGCACAACGGTCTCCCGGTCGCTCCGGCGACTTCTCTGGCTCGCGACCGATCCTCCTCCCTCTTCTCTTCTTCCTCCTCCACCGCCGGCGCGACCACCACTACCGTCGTTGTCCCAGTCGACACCATGACGCTCGGTCCAGAGAAGCCGCAGAACTAGTCACAGCCTGCGTGTCAGTCCATCAGTGAACTCCGTTCTGCACAGTACCGGATCGTGCGGAGTGTTTTCATCGCTCAGAAGGTCGCGTACGAGGTCCTCACCGCGAAGTGCGCGTATGTATGTCGGCTGAAGTCAGCTACCACTTGACATTGGCTGAGAGAGCGTCGACGAAAGTGCGAGATCTCGAGGATCGATTTAAAAATTCAAAGTCAACTTCTCGGCGAACGAGGGAGTGAGTGGGATTCGCGCTTACCTGAGCTCGCGGAGAGACGCGATAAAGAGGAGAAACGGCAGACTAGCCTCTCGTCGCCAAGACGTCGTGAATGGTACCAGCAACAGACGCGAGTCATCTCGGTTGCGCGAGTGACGTTAGTGCCTCCGACGAAGATGGTGCGCGGTTTGTCGCAGTGGACCAAAACTCTGAGTTTCCCGGCGAGGGTGTCGCCCCAGAGATCCGCCAAGGAATCCAAGGGCTTCCACGTAAGCCCCAGCGCTAGTCCCACGTCACCACCAAGCCCGATCAACGACACCATGGACAAATCGCCTATTATTACCGATGAGGTTAGACATCAGACGCTTCTCTCTCTTTGCTCTCTTTCTCACCTTTCCCGTTATTTTCTTGACCTCCCAATAGCTTCTTCACGCAAAGTGAAAAAGATGAGCATTATTGACACGTGATAATGACGCTTTTTTCATTCCAGCAGACAGTTGTCGATGTTAGATTTCCATTTGCAATGCTGTACGATTGGCACATTGTCGTGTTCACGACTAGACTAATTACAGTCCGCCTTACGACGAATTGGATAAAATTTCTTATATCGCCGTAATTAACGCACTAACAATGGCATACGATATCAGGACAGCCAATGTAGAAAAACGTTTGTAAATATAACAGAAACGGTACCTTCGATAGAGCATACATCACAATTCCAACAAGGAAATGTACAAGATAAGTTATCACGAGATCGTCGACGCCGCGCAGCGGGCGCATAGTTACACACACGCATAAACAGTTTTTACTTAAGCCTCTAGATACAAGCCGCAAGACGAGACTTGTTTTTCATTGCGCCCGCATAATTCGAGGAATTTCGTGTGCGTGTGTGACCGTGCCATCCGACTGGAATAAAATGCCGGCTGTAAGGCGCGACGGTGGCAGCGGAAGCGTGGGAACCGAGCGTAACAGATGGCCTCGACCGCTTCCGAAGTCGCTCGACCTCTCTCTCGTTGGTTCCTACCCGCCCGGCGATTCTTGATCGCTCTCATTCTTAACATGCGCGTGGTCGCGATATTGTTTATCGACGCTCTATGAGCTCAGTGTCCATTTGCGAGTTGCAAATCTCCCCTTTCCCTTCAACACAACGAGATTTCTTAAATCTGGCAAGCCTTCGTTTAGACTTAATAATGAATTCGATTGGGTAATGCTGACGACTGGACAGGCGTGTCCAGGTCTGTGCGATCAAATAGAGATAATTATTTCTACGAATTTCTATCAGTTTAGATCCTATTTTGAATTCTCATTTCTATAAATCTCTATCGACCAAGATCTTATTTCGAATTCCTTTATTGAATTTTAGGAAGATTGTATTTTAATTGATATATAAATTGAGTTAGCATGGAGCAGCGAGACACTCTCATTGATCAAAGAAGTTTAAATCATGATCATAGAGTTTCCTCATCGTCGTGCAAAGAAATACAAGCGGAAAACACGTACAGTAGCAAGAAGTTTAGGATAAAATCAAAGTCACTTCCAGTAGAAGTCCATCGAGCGCGAATTCGAGTTCTGAGTAGGATAAGAGCGCGGCATTCTACACGCGACCACTCGTGGTTCCTGTCATCCTCGCCGCTCGACAACGCGGGGGAATGCGAGACAAGACGGATGGTTACGAGTGCCCCGCGCGGCAATTACCGCGTCTTGTATTAAAAGGTTGGACGCGACCCATTCCCACGAGATGGTATTCTCGGGTCCTACGCGTCTACGCCGGAAGCGGCGCGGTTACGAAGGCGCGTTCACTCCTCGCGCATTGTTCCTCCTGGCGCATTCCACGACGATGAACTTCTCGTCCCGTTCAACGCTCGTGAACGAGAACGTTACGCTCCGCGGCATGGATGCACCTGAGGGGGAAGTCGTGTCGGGAATGCCCAACCGAAGGAACTTGATTCGTATGCCACGCTTTTGACCCTTTCGATGTGCGTAACGAGTCTCAGCGTAACGCGAATCTTATTTTTGTAGAGAAAAAGCAAGCGAAACAACTCTACCGACATGCCGAAAAAAAAGTCATGTCACGGCTAATTCACGTCGAATTGCTACAGCAGCGACGACATGAAATATTTAATACTGGACACATTGGTGGACTCTAAGATGCGAGCAATAAGTGGAACATGCGAAGATCGATTGTCCGTTATTTTACTGTAACGTCCCCGCGGGACTCGCAACCGTCATGTGTTTGCTTGACGCGTTACGTGGTATTTTAATATACCTGACGACGAAGCCACATATCTTAAAAAGAACTCCGTTCTGAAAAAGAGAAACGGATGACTTAGCAATTCAGAAAGTTTCGTACTTTAAGAAGTACAAGAGTATTTGTATGATATGTAAATTACTGTTGGGTCTGCTATTGAACGTATTTGACAATTTCTGAAGATTGAATTGTTGTCTTGATTAATTGATCAGTTAATGTACACATTGTGGTTTTGTACTACAGTACAGTCTTAATGTTGCAACTTGCCACGTACCGTTTGCAAATAGCTTGTGTTTTCCAGTCTCTTAGCGATTTCATTTCTCTTTCCTCAGGAAATTTCGAAAGAGATTTCGCAACGCTCAATATTCCGCTCTTTTCTTAAGAGCGAGAAGGCAGCTCTCGTCTCTTCCATTCCTTCTGTTTATATCTCGCCACTAACGACTGACTGGTTGCGTTAGGTTCCTCGACCTTGCCGGTCGTGCAGGTTTCAACTTGCAAGCACCTCCCAACACGCGTTTGCATATATATTATACGCTGGACGTATCTGTATATGGTGATGTAGCATTGGTCGTGGTTGCCGCACTAATACTATTATCCTTATTCCCTTATCAACGAGTATTTTCCAAGGAGACATTTTTAGCGAACTACTTGTGTCTGGAAGAAAAAGAATTACAAAATAACTATACTACAATGGTAATATTTATTAACACGGGATATTTATTATTTATTTCTTTACTATATAGATATATCCTCAACGATGCAACTTTCATAAGGATTCTTTGTGTATTTTCCTAAATGCTCAAAAGTATCCGAAACATTAAATTATTCCATATATATATAGCAATTAAACTGTATTTTTTAAATAATTATATATGATATGCGTGACTTTCAAACATGACAAAGACTAACTACAATGCTAAATGATATAATGCTGACGTTAATAAACGAATGTTTGAAATGAAAAGTAAATTCAATATTGTTCTTTGATCGTCGAAATGATTTTGGGCAACAAAGGGCCGATCACTTGAGTCACAACAATAAACTTGAGATATTCTCGAGCAGCACCACCCACGTGGTTCTCGGCACGAGGCATCTCCCACGATGCTGTATTCTACGTGATGATATCCGTCTTGTCTTACATTTTGAATTACGGTATATGTGTCGATGAGATTGTTTTACACTTGAAACGACGATAAAGGCGAAAAATACATTTTCGTCCTATTTCGATCTTTTTCAGAACCTCCAGGACTCGGAGGCAGAGAAGGCAATAATGGGCTCCATTGTGTACTGCATACATCATAAAGACGGTTGTAAATGGTCGGACGAATTGAGGAAGCTAAAGGTAAGATCTTAGTCTGTGTTATTTAATATCAGATATCACGTCGAATGTATAGTGAACCAACGCGTATCTGAATATTTAAAATTTCGCTCTTCTTTAGGCACACCTGAACACGTGTAAACACGATGCGGTTCCTTGTGGCAACAAATGCGGGGCAATGATACCTCGTGTGCTCATGGAGGACCATTTGAAATACACCTGCGCCCAGCGCAGAGCTCGTTGCGACTTCTGTGCCAAAGAATTCACCGGACATACTTTAGAAGTATGATATTAAATCTTACAATTTAATAATATTAATGAGATTATTATAATATAATAAATAAAACAAATAAGAACCGGTCACTGGTTGTGATGCGAAATATTTTAATATCAAGACATTAGCAAACATACTTTACAATATATTTCAAATTTCGATGATTACACTATTTTCGACAAAAATCGAGCTTTTTTCATGATACGAGTGCGAATAATCATTTCCAATGTAATTTTGTCTGCTGAATACGAATCCGTCGTCCAAATTTGGCTATCATGTCACAATTTTTAAAAAAGTAACGTCAAACATAACAAAACATAACAGGCCAAAAATAACGATTTTGAGGGTTTTCGTGGCGTTGTAGCGCAAACAGTAAATTTTTTTTCTACATTTCGTTAATGCCACACAAAAGTATCAACTTTTAGCTAGAAAATGCATCTGGTCTCGTTTCCCAACGATTTTTTGTTTTCAACATATGGATAATCAAACAGTCGTCTGCATCAATATCACTGAGCAGAACTTTTACATTAACGAAATGTAGAAAAAAATTGTTTGCGTTACAACGTCACGAAAACCGTCAAAATTGTCATTTTTGGCTTTTTTGATGCCATTTTTCTCAAACTTGTAATATGATAGCCAAATTTGGACGGATTCTTGTTCAGCAGACAAAAATACATCGGAAATGACTATTCGCACTCGTGTCAAAAATTTGTCGAACAGTGTTATTGCCAATGGAATATGTAATAATGTGTCTATCATAAATAATGAAAAATCGATAAATGTGTGCGTTTACAGAAGCACACGGGGACGTGCGGCTACGAGCCTCTGTATTGTGAAAACAAGTGTGGAATGAAAGTTCAAAGAAGACATCTCGGTCAACACAAGTTAGGCGAATGCGCCAAAAGGCTGGTTGCTTGTCGTTATTGTAATAAGGAATTCGTTTTCGATACGCTTGGTGCTCATCATGCAAAATGTGGCCGATTCCCGGTTGCGTGTCCTCATCGTTGCGAGACCGCGGTACTGCCCAGAGAAGATCTCGAAGTGCACTTGAAAGATCATTGCACCACGCATCTACTTTCTTGTACATTCAAGGACGCTGGCTGCCGCTTCAAGGTACGTGTTGCTCATTGGCGCACTGTAACTTACTCGACCCAAAAGGTAAATCGATTCAAACTGATAGAATCAGATTTTCTTTTCGAAACTAGATACCTAATGTTTTAAACATGTGTTAATTTAAATCATCTGCTTATTTGGTATACTTTCGCCGGGTATTTATTCCAAAACCGAAAAGTTTTATGTCACGCTCTATCCGTAATAGGGGAATAGGTTTTCGTTGGATAAACATCTCGAGGAGTCTGCGAAGATGCATCTGAGCCTCATGTGTAGTCTCGTAACGAAGCAGCAACATCAAATAACCAGTCTCAAATCGGCGATCAGTAAACTGTCGTTAAATTACACGGGCACGCTCATATGGAAGATCACAGACTATGCTGCCAAAATGTCGGAGGCGAAAGCGAAAGAAGGAATGGAACTTGTTAGTCCACCTTTTTATACTAGTCAATACGGATACAAGTTACAGGTACGTATCGTCGAATATATTACGAGTGATTTTTACGTTCAGCTTAGTTTAGTCTGTTGAAAAACCACTTCTCGTGTTGCAGGCTTCGATTTTCTTAAATGGAAATGGGACCGGAGAAGGTAGTCACATCTCGATATACATCAAGATCCTGCCTGGCGAATACGACGCACTTCTGCGATGGCCGTTCTCGCATAGTGTTTCGTTCACGATGTTCGACCAGACTGTGGTCGCGGAGAAGGCCTGCAACATCGTGGAGAGTTTCATACCGGATCCGACCTGGAAGAATTTCCAGAGGCCGAGTCGTGAGCCGGATTCGCTCGGTTTCGGTTTCCCACGATTCGTTTCTCATGAGATGGTGAAGAAGCGACATTTTGTCAAAGATGATACCATGTTTATTCGAGTCAAGGTTGATCCTAGTAAAATTGTAGCGGTCTAAATATGCGTTTACGATGAAATCGTAAATTTTTCGATTTTTGGGACGGTCTCTCGAACGGACTTTGTGATATTTTCGAGTACTTGTTTAGGTGGGGCGTACAGTACTTATCTCGTTTGTCAACACTCGATAGTTCAAATACCGAATTGATTTAAAGTATACTGAGGAACTACGCTGCCCCTCGATGTCGAAACAGTCCGGAATATTCGAAAAAGATCCTTTTATCTATTAACTTTTGTTGTTGTAAAGATACTGCCGATATAATTATAGAATTAATAATTTATTGACATTACCAAACGACATGCCAGGCTGAATTTATTTCCTTAGTTTTTTAAATCTTACATATTGTATCTTTCTCAAATGCGTTATCACGTTAATTCATTCACACTCTATGGCATTACAATTTAAACGTTAATTTGTGAAATTAACGTTAAAATTACTAATTTGTCATGATACCATATTTCACTGCCGATTAAATTAAATTGTCTCAATGATTTGTTATTCATTGTGCAATCACTCGTGTACGCATTTATAAAAGATTCAAACGGCAAACGAAATCGAGATGTCTCGATCTCTTCCTCTCGAATAAGAAAAATCTTATAAATGTGTGACTTAAAATTATTTTTAGGGACAGATATCAAAGATTGCTAAGGGACTGTGGCTTAAACTTAGAGTGTGTAAATATAGACGTGGAATGCCATATTATAATGGACAAGATATAAAATCAGTTGAAGTCTCACTAATGTAAATATACACTTACTATGTATGATGATAATGAAAAAATGTGATAGAGATATACTAGTGAACCTATGTAATGACTTGAAAGTAGACCGAATAAAATTGTAACATATTTGTACGTAAATACATTGTTTTTTATTTTTCGTACTTATACTATACAATCCAATTGGATTGAACATCAAATGATATTCCATGAATATTAATTAAATGATATAATATCTATACGAAGAAAAATTCATACTGTGTGAGGATGGAAATATGGATTATAAATTTTTGAAATAAATAATTCTGTTGTGCATGCGTTTATATATTCAAGAATAAAGATTATAAAAATACTCACAATCTGCTAATAACAATTGGTAATTCAATGTTATTTTCATTATACATTTCCACTATATTGAGAACTTGCCTCTCCTGAAATTGCCTGTAATATATTAAGACAAATTATAGCAATTATAATTAAGGGCAAACTGAAGAAAAATCATATTCAGAATACTACAAGAGAGTAAAATTTATGTTTACCTATGTGAATGAAATTTTATATTTATCTAAATTTATACTTACAGATTGTATCCGTAATATTTGGTCTAATGTAAATGATAACAATGGGCGTATTCCGTTAATTTCCATTGCAGTAAGATGATCCAATCTTGCATGCACTCCTTCACTTTTTACAAAAGCATCCACAGATGTACGCAATTTAGACATTCTTATATCCCATATATCCTATAACATAAGTTATAATATTAAGCATTATTCTCTGTGCAAGTACTTTAATTAAATCTACTTAAGCTGTTACCTTTATAGCAGTCCTTATACCATCTGCATCAGGTATATCATCGTCTGCCATATTCAGCAAGATATGACTCTCATCGATGTAATGATAACTGGGCATCTCTGTGAATAATCTAATATAGATAAATAAATGTTTATAATCAAAATTATAATCAAATTTCTTCAGATATTAATTTTTTATATTTAATGTTACTAAAAAATGACAAAATTTTACAAAAAACTTATATAGTATATTGTTTGTAGTATTTATATAGTATATTATGATGTATTATGCAGTACCTAGAGAGAGAGAAATCGAAAAATTTCAAAGGAAATTGATGCAAGTTATAATTTATTAGAAGCATTAGTTTAGAAGACAAAGAATTTAATATCGACGCGTCATATCGAGAATAATAGTGGGTAATAAATTTCCAGGAACTACTCACGTACTTCGACATCCTTTCCATTTCTTTCTTCTCGTTCAGACTCTCGACTTCCATCCACTCTTGGTTGATAATACGACATTTTTGCTTTTGTTTGAGATAAACGGCAAGCCAAATTGGTACTTTAACAGGCAGACCGGCGCGAAATGGTCCTACCGAGCCTGAGATCAGGTAGATTACATCCAAATTGAAGTTCGGTATTATGTTGACTAGTCGTTTCTCACCGAGAAATTCGACTTCACTTGGATCCATACTTCGTTTGAACTTCAAACTGCATTAAATCTATTCCTTAATATTTTGCTCACGTGTTCCGTTGTTTCCAAAACTTTCGAACTGCGCTTCGCGATAACAGCTGACCAGTGGTCTGTTCTTTTCAGCTGCACTGGTGCATAAGTAAAGTAAGAAAACAGATACTTGTCTCACTTTAACTTATTGCACTAGTTCAGCAGTACAGTGGCATCATCTAATGCAGGATTCACATTGTATCGACATTCGATATACGATCTCCGATATCCAATGAGAAAATTACTTTTCTAGGAATAAAAATATCGCCAGCTAAAACACTAAGAAACAAACTTTACTATTGGATATCAGATTATCATATGTAGAATGTCGGATGCAATGTGAATGCTGCATAACAAGTGTATCCGATGGCAAGACGATCTGCCTGGCGCCATCTAGCGACATAAATTCTAACACGTTATTGAAAAAGGCGGTAAAAAGAGTAACAACAAACACCGCCATATTCTTTCTATTGTTACGTCTCAACAGGTTGGAGGCTTCCTTTTTCACCTTTAGTTCTTTTCAAGACGTTTGCAATATTTATATAACACTTATCGTTTTAACAGCTGGTTCCTTTACCAGATCTGCTATTTTCCTACGATGTATGGCACTAGTCGAGAATGTATTCAGAAGTAAGACAGACTCACTTCTTTTGTTGGTTAGCAAGGTAATTCAATATTTATGCATAATATTCCTTTGCAATTAGCACAACTAATAGATATGTCACGGTTTATTGAGTATCCACACGCGTTGGGAATTTGAGGCGTAACGGTAAGTAGTGAGTACATGTATGTACATACACATACACATGTATATACATATATACGTATGAATTACACACCTTAATGACACCGATTTTCTTTGCAACGTAATAACACATCTACGCGGTAACGTTGATTAACGTTAAGGTCTCAAATGCGTGTCCTTTGCAGCTGACTTATTCGAATAGTTATCACGCTATAAAGTCTTTTAAAAAGAACTTAATTTTATAACTAGGATTCTCATGTTAACTATATCGGAACATTCTTGATTTAAAACTCCTGATTCCTCGCAGCGAAGATGTGATGCATGCAACCTCTCTTTTTAAATCTATTTCCTCATGATTTTGTCATGTTAATTTTACAACTATTGATTATTAGAGTAAAAGGAAAGTGATTATTTTTTACGAGTCTGCTTGATCGATTGCAGCTACTATTTTGCGAACATATCATTTTATTTCGATATATTGCAAGAATTTTTAACGTGTTTTTCCTCGCTCGTCTCGCGTCATAAATCAAGATGGTCGCAGCAGGTCGCAGCGAGGGACCAAGACTGTGTAAATGGTCTAACGTTAAACATGATCGATGCAAAATAAATACGTAACGGTGACGAAGAGCAAGGTATAACTATAAAATTGATCAAACTCATTGACATTCACGTAACAGTTGGATATTGTACCAAGACTATTGTCCTAATTGTACACAAACGGATATGGTCAGCTTTCACGTCATTCTGTCCGTCATTACGGATTAATTATCCGACCGTCACATCGATTCTGTCCCGAGGCTCCTCGTCGGTTGATGAGAGCCGCAAAGCGAAGTGGAAGTGATCAGACGTGGTCTGATTTACATCGGCTTCGATCACGAAGATCGACGCGGGTGGCGTTTCCTCGACGCGGCCCTCCTCGGCGGGCAAGAGCGGTGCCAGGGATTTATATGTTTGCAGTTCTATGGCAGGAGTATGAGCCTCTTTCTCGATATCGTTAACAGATTTCTCTATGCTTGTTTGTTCGTTCGGCTCGGAATTGCTAATTATCACTACTGCTCCGACAGTGTTGACGCTCGCGGCATGTTGACGCTGCTCCTTTTCCCGTATCGACGATATGCGCCTCTCGGAATACGCGCCGCCTGTTCTCGTGTCGCCGACAGCCTGCAACGTCGTCCAAATGGAACAAACATGAGGATTACAAAAGCCATAAGATGCTTACTAGACGCTATTATCTTTTTTCTCAAATTTCCGCAGTAAAAATCCAAGTGTTATTTTGGATCTGAATCTCTCTTTACATGTTTTTCACCGTTTTAAGACTATTAGCCCCTCATCACGACCATCTCGATTAACGTGATATGCAACTTTCCTTTTTAACTTATATTTTCTTATTATTTTGTCGTATTCATTTTACTGTTATTTATGGATTATTAAAGCAAAAGGAAAATATTTGGAATATTTTAGAGATGTGCTTAATCGATTGCAAGCATTATTTTTTGGATATGTCTTTTTATTTCGACGTACTTTGCAGGAATATTGGAGATATATTTCCTCGTTTCTGATGTTGTCAATCAAAAGTTACGCGGCGAAGGACTAGGATCCTTAAGTCACATCATTTAATACCATCAAATTGTAATTTATATTTTAAACGTATTAAATGATGTGATTAAAAACGCAAGAAATATGTAAAAAGAGAATTACACGCTTATGCGTTTAAAAATAACACTTGGATTTACGGTGTGTATGTACGGGATTATTTATAGTTTCCCACATGAGAATACTTGGAATGATTAAATTATATGATGTGCGTATGTATTCTATGTAGATATAGATTTCATTTCACCTTGACGCCGGCGTAAACCGAGCAAAGGATGAAGCGTGAGAATGAAATGTGCAAGTAGGAGAATTCACGCACCTGGCGTAGCAGACTTGACCTTTGACTTCCCGGTTGAGGGAGGCCGCTAGGTCGCCTTTGAAACTGTCTCTGCGACCCCACGAGAGATCCGCGATCGTGGATCACGCTGATCACACTGGACTTAACATCGCTGTGCGGGAACAACAGTCGCCACACGAAATTCTTGAGTGCGGCACGAAAGTCCTTGAGGTGGTAGGCGTAGAGAAGTGGGTTCCCGACCGAGTTCATGTGCGAGAGAATGATGCAGAAGTTTATGAGGAAGTCGTTTACCTCGCACTCGGGACAAAACGCCATCACGCAGTTGATCGTGTACAGCGGGAACCAACAGACGATGAAGAACAGGACGATACGCGAGAGATTTTGCGTAGCCTTGACCTCTCGTTTGCGCGCCGCGCCGAGCACACGCAGCATCGTCCCCGTCGCCTGGTTACTCGTGCGACCACGACGAAGACCACCGCCGAGACGGCGATCGGCGGCGGCACCACCACCATCGGGATCCATCGTGACGATTTGCTGTAACTACGATCGTCGTATCTGTCATACTTTTTGGCTACTTTCCGCATTGCAATTCACCATTCGCTTGTGTTTTCCAGCGACTGACCTGCTTCACAATCACGCGGTATATGTGGGCATAAAAAACCGCGATCAGCAGGGCAGGGAAGATGATCGTGGCAAAATACAGAAACACAAGATAATCGAAGTCCATCACTTTCATGAACATGCATCTGTGGTCGCTCATCTCCCCGGTGTTCCATCCTAAAAGCGGCAGAAAGCCCACCAATGTGCCTGCTATCCAACACACGCATATTATACCTGAAAGCAATAGATTCTTTCTTTAACATGAAGATAAATATATGAGCCCAAAGTGGATAGTATTTGAGACATTGAAGATATTGAAGATATTCATAGAGAGATTCTCTCTTTCATGCAGGAACAGCTCTATTCAAGACGATTCCGTTTGTGGGAATCGTGTTTGTCAGGCGCTATCACATCGATGTGAAATCAGGAACTATTGAAATCGAGAGGTACAATATGCATCGACGCTAGGTTTTGCCGATGAATCGACGCGCCGTCGTGTCGTTGTCACGTCGTCGTTGACGTCGCGTCGTCGCGCCGACTACGCGTAGTTGATTCGGATAATGACTCGCGCTCGTACTTCCGTTCGTTATCTATCGGCCATTCATCGCGATTAGCGGTGAACTTCATTTTTTCACACTCTATCTCGTGCAATTTTTATGCGTGTGCGGCGGAGGCACATGGGGCTTTTTATCGATTCGCTCGATATACGTGGAAAAAGATATTCCGTAGGGAAATACATTCTATCGAGAGCGTCATACGGGGAACGACGTTTCCGAATGTTATCGAGATATAGAAATTGATGCATCCAATGAATCTTGACCATGAAATCTTTCATCTCTCTTTGAAATTCGACTCTTTTAAATTTAACAGGAAGATACGACCGAAAAAAAGAAAAAAAGGGAGAAAGAAAATCGAAAGTACTTTTGAAATGTACGATTAATCGAATAGCGTCGATCAGCTTAACAAGATATTTAATGGAGGCGTAGTCGGTACGATGTAACGTGACATCACGCAACGGGATTTAGAAGGGACACGACGCGATCGCAAATCGCACAAACAATGCCGCATAATCGCTAGTTGTATTTGTATCCTTGTACCCGAATACGTGCCGGAAATTGGAAGCATTGCGTAGCTGTCCACGGCTTTTGGTTTCTTTTGTTTTAATATCGATATGACCGATATAATTAACTCATTAACCGTTTGAGCTCCGACAGGGTTCATGAGAATATGCTATATCAAAAGTGTCACGCAAAGCGGTAGTAACCCTAATGCTAATACGTTCGAAGAGCGAATTAACCCTAAAGCCTTAAACGTAGGTAACATTTACACAATTCAATTTTCCAAATGTTACCGTTCTTAAAAACATGTGTTTTGTTCACTATAACTTTTATTCAATTTCATTAAATCGCAAAAGCATTAATATATTCATATTTCTCGATATTCTTTACACTGAATAAAAAAAAAGATTAGATTTAGAATATTTTTATGTTCTAAGATTAATTATCAATCAGGAGCTATGAGCAAGTTATGCGTTGAGTAAAATTTACCCACGTTCAGAGTTTTAGGCTTAAATTCCTCGACCGTGTTGCAAATGATTATTTTGAAAATCTATGAACCAATCGTCAAGTGGTCTATTGCATTTCAGGACGACTTCAGTTGACTTGGATCAACGCACGCGTGTATCGCCTTCCATTAATCTCGCGACCTGATATCAAGTACCTGATATCAAGTATCAAATTAATAACATCGTGGAAGGACGCGCGTGGTGATCCCTCACCTATGGCAGTTTTGGTGCGCACCGTGCGCGAGTATCCCATGGGGTGTAGTATTGCCCAGTAACGATCGACAGACACTGCCACTAGGCAGAAAATGCTGATGGTACACAAGACCACGAGGACCGACACGGTGAAGAGACAAGCGTGCAGATTCGTCGGCAGACCGATACTCGCCAGGATCGCGAAGGGGATGGCGAACAGTCCGACCAATAAATCGGCCGCGGCTAACGAGACGATGTAGTAGTTGGTGCGTCTGCGTAACTTTCGTTCCTTGCCGAAAACCACGATGACCAGGCCGTTGCCGAAGACGGCGCAGATCGCCACCAGAATCTCGCACACGGTATACGGCAGGTTCAGTTCCGAGACCGTGGAAGTGGAAGAAGCATTCGTCGTCTCGATGTAGTCCGAGTGATCGAACGACTCGGTCGTGTTCGATGGAAATTCCATCACGACTCGACTGGCGCGAGAATGCCGTTTATTGACGCCGACACATAATCCTCGTTAATTTTACGTGTTGATTCAGCGAGCGTGATTGTGACGAGGGGATAAATGGGACATCGCGAGACTTTCCATCGATATCAATATTAGATCTGTAGTCATCGCGCCTTCGGAACTGTAACTCGGAAGAGATGATAAGAGCGTTTTTGAAATCTCTCTTTCTTCCAAGATACGCTTCTGTTTTAAATGTGTCTAGTCATTACTTTGAAGGAGCTTTCGGCGGCAACTCTAGTTTTGTAGAATACTTCAATGTTTACGTCTACACTTGGAGCAATGTCTATACTTTAATTGACTCTGTGAACACCGCGATACTAATATTCTTTTTGTTCTATCAAGACGTGTCTCGCCACTAGTGTTGCATGTGAAACTTATTTCAATGTCTTAACATATCACATCACAATGTACATGCCACCTCGCACTTCTCTTCTTTTCCGAGTGATTCATCAATCTTGGTGCCCTTGCGATTTCATTAACAGTTTCTTTCTTTAGCAGACGTTTGATAGTTGTTTTGGCCTCGTGTATTTTAGCTAGTCGATCGTTTCCGCTTACGTCCGACAGTACTAACGAACGAACGAAAGAACGAACGAACAAACGATCGATCGACCGGTCGCTCACTCGTCGCGTGATGCGTTAACCGTCGTCATGTTCTCCGTTCATTACTTACGGAGCGACGTTCGACACGAGTGCGCGTAAGATGGATTTCCGTGCGATATCATCTAATAAGGCCTGCCATGTCACGCGAATTCGCGGACGCGTCGCGCCGTTACGACGCGCGCGGCAAGCGCGTCGGAAGTGAACGAATCGACTTCGTCTTGCACGCCGTTCGTATCACATTCGTGATGCAATATGATCATGATTACACGCGTGTCGTTACCTATTATTCTTACCCGTTCATTATTCCTGAGTGGAGCGACTCGAAACGGTAAATTTTTCCGCTACACTACGTATAGACGAACGTCTTCGTGAAGAGACCGGCTGTGCATCATTATTAATAATCGCCGTCTACCAAAACCGAAAACTACTGTCGTTAATTCAACTTCCGAGAATCTTTCGCGAACATGTCATTAAGAGGACAAGTATTTTAGAGTAAAAAGCGTGTCGTTACGCACGTCATCTTCGATGTTAGTGAAAAGGCGGGAAAGTGTTCACTGCCTCGCGATAAGAGTAACGATCGATCGATCGATGACTCGCGTGCTACGATTATTTAGTTAAATTGACTCGGACGAAAAAACGCGAAAATAAGGTTTTTTTTTCTCTCTCTTTCTCTCTGTCGCGACACGCGAAGGGCGCGTGAGCGCCGCTGGAGGATGGAACGCCGAACGAACGCGTCCGCCTTCTCAACCCCGTGGCGTGTAACTGAGGTGCTCTTCTCATGATAGAATGGAACAGAAGGGAAGTGGAGGTGGGATCTCCGGCCGGTCGCTCGTGTTTCTTCCGCTTCCGTTGTCGAAATGCTCAAGAAAAACATCCACATGTCGATGTAGTCGCGATTACTTCGGTACAGTGAACAAATACAATAAGCGCGTTTTGCATCGCGATGTTTCTTTGCACGTGGTTTCCAGTAAATACCAGCTAATAGTAACATCATATCAATGTTGTAATTTCTCACTCAACAATGTAACTGTTACATCCCATATAACATCAAAGTCAATGTGCATTATTAAAATGTTGCTATAATATTTTAGTAAATTAAATTTTTTGCATGGAAATACAATGTTGTATGTGTGGTAATTTTCTTTAACGGGGAATAGTACATTAATATTACTAAAACGTTAGCTTAAGATGATAAGATAATTATATTTTGATAGATATTGAAATAATATTAATTCAATCATAAGGTAATCTCATTAATCAAAAAAACTTTGTATTAATGTTGGGTTTAAGATTTATTAAAAGTTCCGGAAAGTATGTATAATGTTTTAAGATCATGATAACATCGTAATCATCTTCGCGATAACATAATTAAAAGTTTCTCAAGTTTAATGTCGGTGTAATATTGTTGTGTTACGTATAACATACATGTTATATTGCATTACATTGTTGAGTGGGAAATTATAATATTGATGTTATGTTAGTGTTTGTTCTTTGTATATACTTAACGGGGTAGCGTTCAAATACTTCACGCACGACTATCAACATCAATCATCTTGGTCTCACTTCTTTTTCTTTTAGTAGATTCTACTATTTTCGTTTAATTTGTTTAATTTGTTTTCGCAGTTTTGAAGCTGAGCCTCTCGGGGAAACCCTTCCTATCTGTCAGGGAAAACTCAATTTTATATCGAGGTCACAGAGAAGATTTGTAGATTGAAACTTGGCACGACAAATTTTGTCGTAAAATCACGTTAACTTACTGTTGCTGATACAGCTGATACGTTATTGGAAATCATCGATATCATGTGTATTTCGAGAAGAAGACATTTGCAGCACCTTCCACGATTCATATCCGTACAAAAAACAAACGACCTACACACGACGGCGACCATAATTAGTAAGTGCAATTGTGCACGCGTAGCGAGCGACGATGAACAGCCACCGAGTGTCTTCCTTGTCAGCCTGATGTGCACAAACCGGATGTTCGTTATATCGCTCGTCATTGGACATCGATAAGATAAAATAGGGATAGAATTACCGCGTCAAGGATAACTAGACAAACGAGTCTGTACATTTTTCAATCTCTTTTTCACAGATTTTGTAGTACGTATCTGTACTGTTTGCAAGTACACGTGTACTCGAATATACATTTGAAACGCGATATCGTGTCTCGGCAGACGCACGAGGTGCCATCAGCCTGGTCACGGAAATCACGAAAAATGAAGATCATTTCGCTTCTGTCGAGTATCCTATACGCAGCGTAAATACAGATAGATACGATCTTTCGCCAGAAGGAACTAATTCGACGATCAATAACAGCGCGATCGTCCAACAATTGTCTGAACAACGAAAGTAACACCATGTTCGACCAACCCGACGCGTCGTGTTCGAGAAAGCAACGGAAAGCCGTTCAACCTGGACACTCCTGCCGAGTGGCTTTAACGAACAGTGAACGGGTCCATTCGTGGTAATTCGCATGTACTCATTGTCCGTAACTGGCGTATAACGGAGCGCTTGACATTGCATAAAGGATCTCTAATTGCGCTGTGGAGCTAAATGCCTTCTCTGTCGCGCGACGCGCGCTGCCACGAGCGGTCTTTCGAGCGCGCTAGAGCGATCTAAATCGAAAATGGGTCGTGTTCGCGTTACACCAGCCATGTAAACACACCCTAGAATGTACGACCGACTATCTAATGGTTTAATACGACTAATGCGTCGCCGGAAGGTGGACTGCAGCCTTATCCGAGTCGATATTTTGGTTCCATGTTAACCTTGCAAATTCCGTCCAACTTGGCGAGCCGATGGAGAGTCTTGAGGTATAACATTAATACAGACTATTGTCCTTTGATGCTATAATTGGTTACGCTGTCGTTTGATAATTTGATAATTTGACCAGCTCAAGGATGCGGAATGTGTCATTGATTGTCGGCCACCGAATGTGCTCATCATTGATTGGAGAACGACGCACACACCGCGATGAGGAGTACGTATGTTGGTACGTCACTTGTAATTCTCGTCGGGTTTTAAAATATTTAACCTCGTCGGCGTCGCATTAATCAGCACGTGTTTCTTAGATCGCATTGTATTTTAGCAAGTGTCAGTGCTAGAAGCAAATACTCAGAGTGCTACGATGGAGCAGCTGAGAGCAGAATGCTGAAACTAAGACTTTGGAATGTAGACAGCGATACATTATCTATTTACAGGTGTGTCAAATCATTTATTTTACAAAGTGTTTTCGATTTTAACGGATGTTCAATAAAATTTGCCGGGCATAAGAATACACCCGAGTCGAAATTTAAGCTGATATTCATAGTCTTTTATTGCTATTTAATACATTATTATAGTTCCGTGAATCTCTCTCTGATTATTCATGTTAAAGTTGACTAACAGTCTATAAGTATGAATCTATCAGCAATTTGCTTTTAGGCAATGACTGCAAATAATTTACAAAAAATGTTCGCGAAAAAAAAATAAAACAATGAACAATTAATTTCTAATTATTGCATAAATAACATGCCCGAATGTACCAATATGGCTTGTAAAAATATTTAAGCGGATTTAACAAGGCGAAAACAAAGCGTGGCTCGTAAGAAGTAACGTGAGCTTTATTTAGTATAGATGAAAATAAATCAGACAGTTTTTCTTCGTCTACGAACGTAGAGGAGACGCGTGTAAGAGGTCGGAGCGCCGTAAAGATGTGTAAACGCTGGGTGATACCTAAAAACGTCCAATTAAAAGCTTACTTCCACGTGCGCAACGTGCGCGCGGTGTTAGGTTCGCTAGCCGCATGCTTTTATTATAAGCCGGGTGTAAGGAATAAACCAACGCGCTTTTTTTCTTTTCTCTTTCTCTCTCTCTTAGTAAATAATGGGTTACTTTGCTTTGTACGTTCACATATACGTGCGAATACACGTGTGAATAGAATATAAATGTTCGCCGATGAATGTATTTTTGATTACTAATTATTTTAAAAGAAGGCTGATAAGTAGAAAATGAAAAAAAAAGAATCTTAGATTTTACTCCATATCGATGTGACGCAGCCGCATGCAAGCGAATAACATAATCATCAACACGTAAATTGTTTTACAATGATTAAAAGGATCGGTAGCGTAAGTGGTGTACCTCATGCATCGCATCAGTATACGCTTGGAACTTTAATCCTCTTAGCATACCCGATGCTTCATCGATCGACGATTCGCATCACTTTCAGATTTAATTTGTCTAATGAGACGGCTTATTTTCATTGCGTTGATTAAACTTCCCGTTAGTACACAAGAAGTGCGTATGCTATAATCGTTTCGGCGTCTTTGGTATTGCCCGATGCACGATCAGTGAATTAATAATTGATAACGTCGCATACATTTCGGGCGGACGACAACCTTGATTCGTGTGAGAGAGGTACGACGTGTCCTATTATTCATTGTGAATCCTGCGCACAATAAGTAATTGCATTTAATTTGCACTATAATTAAACGACTTTTCTTCACACATGGGAATAAACTAATTTCAGTTATTTTGTCAGTAATAAACGCCGTAATGGGACGAGGGCGAGTAAGAAAGTGCGCGATTAGAAATCATTTTCATTTCTTTTTTCCAATTTTTTTTCTCGCGTTTATTTTTAACAAATGCGTATGTTTGGTTCTGCATTACATTATTATAAATAAATCACGTAGAAACATTTTCTTGTAGTGCAACAGTCACAATTATAGTTTATAAAACTAGAAGATAGTTTAGTCATTAGTGTCAGCAACCGAAAATATTATCGGTTAATGAGAAATGTATTTGCGTTAGATCTGAAAGTGCTTGTGGTTGATAGGAAATAATGTTGCAAGATCGCACGCATGATTATATACATAAACCATACCCAGAATGCGAATCCCAGAAATGCGAGGGGACTATAACTGTAAAAGAAAAAATATTTTTGAGGCGCATAGTTCAATTTAACGATATGGAATATGTGGAAAGATTATGTAAGTTCTGAAGTACTTGAAAATCCATGTTACGAATATGCCGATAGACACACTCGTGAGGAAGGTATAATTGGCCAGAGATCGTAAACTTAACCGGGGCGGCAGCCGTTCCTCACAGCCGCTGGTGAATCCATTCGGCGTTCGTTTCGGTAACTTGACGACTGTAGTAGGCGGTGTGATTAGTTGTCGACAAATAGTGCCGAAGAAGCTCTGTCTGTTGTATAGCGTGATTATCTCATGTCGATACTACGAACGAATTGCGAATTATTGAAAAACTAATGTGTTACAAGTCGTGTTACATATATTTTTAACATTTGCTGTTACTAAACACATTTTTATATTAAAAAATGTAAAATACATTTATATATTAAATGGCAATTGCATAACGTTACATCGTGCTCCTTGGCACTTAAATAGTTGAACATGCGTGTGCAATACCTTGAAATTGATAAAGCAGCACAACTTGTAGAAATTTCTAACGAGGAAACCACATTCGTACGTCCGTATCGGCTGCAACTCTGGATCACCCATATACTCGATGTATCGGCATGTTTGCCTACCCTCTTGCAGTGGTACAAAAACACCCGGTCTACTTGAATCAAGACTGGATTCCGTCTAAACATCATTCACGTCTAATCAATTGAGAATTCAGTAAGATATATCTTTATAAATAAGACAAAGTAAGAATAATATGTACTTGTGACTGATGACAAAAGGAGGTCGACAAGATACTGTCGTGATATTCTTGATCCGCTACTATAGCGACTTGCGGAATATCTTCGAGTTTGATCTGCAAGAGTCACACAGACGCGCGTGTATGTGATACGATTTAAGATTGACGCAAAGAAAGAAAAGTTTGATCCGACGTAGATAAGAGGTCTACTCACTTGAAATATGTCTATTAGCTGCTGTTGGGCATTAGCCAGAAGCACAGGAACACGTCGTCGTTCTTCTATACCGATGTCATCTGAGGAATAATCGTCGCAGTAAAAAAACTCCCATAAAGACAACAAGAAACGTCTTCCTTTCCTTCTGTTTTCTAGAGCCTCGACTAAACTGGTCGCCGTCAAGTGCGCTTGCTTAATAGTACTCAAAAACCATACAATCTAAAATATGTAAGTTCTCAACAACCATCGATAAAAAAAATTTATAGTTTTTATAGTTTCAAGGAAAGAGTCAGAATATACCTGCGATGTGATGGCCGATGAAAACATAGGAACGTATTGATATGTAGGACCTTCCAATTCCATAACTTGTTGTCTGACAATTGAGGTCCATTGATTGGTAGATAATCGACCTCTGCTTAAGCCTACGTCGTCCATACAGCTCTCTACCTCAGATATCATCTTTGCTAAATGCGGCTGTGAGAACACCTACAGAATAACGAATATATATCTTGATAACAAAGCAAATAGTTGTATTTTCAAGTATAAAAGAATGATACGCTGTGGGAAATACACATACTTTCGTGACTCTGAATAACATTAAAGCATTTTTAGGCGCTACTAGATCAGTCCTCATAAAACGTGGGAGTAATTGCTGAAATATAGCCGTATATGCCAGCAGGTTATTAGCAACGAAAGCAATCCACCTATCGATATCGTGAATTTTGCCCCTTTCTTCTTCTTCCGCTTTACTAAAAAGAAATTTTTAATTGTAGAATCAGCGAGAGATTGGCTTCTAAGGGTAATATAGAAATAAAGCATACCCTTCTTTAGTATACGTTATTCCCGGGACATATCTCCATGGTTGAACGAAACTCAACCAAGCTTCCAGTATTAATCTAAACGAGCTGTCTAATGGCCAATGATATATAGCTTTTCGTAAAAATGTATATATTTTTCCTTGAACTGAAGGAAGAATTATTCTGGCGAAGAGAATTAAAGAACATTAGGAACAATTATAAAAGGCGGCGAAATGTAAAATATTTAAAATATCTCGGTACCTTTTTAATTCATCCATTGCGCTCTTGTCTCCCGTAGCGCTATTTGTAAATTCATGCAGTGTTTTTATGAACGCTCTCACTAGACGTATATGTTCCCCAGAATGTACGCTATGCTAAAATTAGAAATTGTTCTCATGTATATATTTCCTTCCTCCTTTAGATCATTTGTCACACAAAAAATTTACTCGTCGTGGTATTGAAGCCAAAAAGGCCGTAGTTAATGTAGGAGTCAGCTGTTCATCTTCAGTGTATTCCAGCCAGAAATCTAGAAAAACCTGTACCACAGTTTCACTTCTCCATACTTGAGGTAAGCATTGCTGTTGCGACACTCCCGATCCAGGACTCATTGATCCTGGCGACAATATGGATGTTCTCAAAAGTCTCGGAGTTTGCAATCTATGACAATCTCTGATTGAAATTTATGATATATAAATACAGCATACTTTGTATCTGATTTATGTTTTGCAATAAAAATTTTATCTCCGTACCTTTTGTATTCTGGTGACTGAGTCAATTTTCTTGGAGGAGTTTTCTTAACATATGGTCCAATCACTGGTAGAACTGCAGAATTATCTCTTGGGAGAAAATGATATAAATAGCAATGTGCTAATTGAACATATACAGTCTCCCAGTTTACCCATACATTCTCTCGTTGCTGGAGTTGCAACCAAGGATTGGTCAAATGATATGCGAAATGAAAAATATAATACTCAAAGGGATATGTGCTTACATTAAGGAACATTTATCATTAATAACATATTGCTATATGTACATATATATAACATAGTAGTACATAATATCTTGTAAAGGATACTCATAGATAACACTGATGGAACACGTGTTCCTTGATCATCTTTGATCTTATCAAGATAAAATGGTGATATTACAGCTTCTTCTAACAAGGAACGTATCTTTGACTATAAAGAGAAATATTAAGATATTTGTAAGAATAAAAATTATAATACACACACACACACACACACACACATACACAGCATAAGTTAAACTATTAGACTTACTGGAAGATATGACACTGGAAAATTATATTTCAGGTAACAGTCTGGAAGTAGTTTATAACACAAGGAAAACATTGGCCCTTGAGGTCCAAGAAAGTTACACAAAGCTTCATATTCCTGTGAATTCTTCTGGAGTGTAACATTACGTAGACCCCATCCGATATTATCTGTTATTCCAAATAAAGAATCAATCAGCAGAGGAAAAACAAGTTGTAGCTCAGTGGTACTCGACTCATCTATCAGTACAGCTAAATCTCTGCATCGTTCTACTAGTGGTGCATTTAGGTATCTTTGCGCTCTAATCTAAAAGAAAAATAAGACGTAAATAATAAAATAAGCTTTTTTGTATACCTTTTTAAATCACACAAGATTATTTGTTTTGCTATGAGGTTATATTTTGATATATGAAATAATATTCACATTTTATAACATACACACACACACAAGTGAATAATAAATGTATATGAAACAGACCGTAGCAACATCCGTAGAAACAGCCATCGTTCAACGTCTTCGTGTTTGAGTAAATTATAATATAAAAAACACAGTATTTACAAAATCACCTAAAGATTTGTAATCTATTGGATCTCAAATGAAAGTAGATGTCGTTGAAGGCGCTCTCTCTCTCTCTCTCTCTCACTCTCTCTGGGGCCCTATTCCATAACCACTCATCGACAATTGTCGGATCGGTAGTCGTGGTTGCGCAGCTTTTCTATGGTATAAAAAAGCTGCGCAACGACGTCTACCGATCCGACAATGGTCAGTAAGTGGTTACGGAATAAGGCCCCTGCTTGAAGAGTACTATTTCATACACGCTATCCGACAACTGTCGAATTGGTAGACATCGTTCGCTTAATACTTATTGTCTGTGATTGGAGCATTCTTTTAGATTCTTTATAGACTCAAGAGTATTTACCAATCAGGAACCATAATCATTAAGTGTTCCCTAAATTGCTCTTTCCGCTGAATGTAACTAATGTTTATGAATTATTTCAGTCAATAACGTTATGTCCACAATTTTTGTTTTTTTGGACTTATTTTATACACACACATACATATATTGTAAGGAATGTGCAACTTTATATTTTAATTTATTTTAGATATAATTTTACAATTGTCTGTATATATATAAAAATAGACTAAAAATACACTACATATCTTTAAAGTTATAGTGTTGTGACACAAATTGAATTTAGCTCTTGGAGAATAAACTATTCAGAGAACTAGCAAATTCTTACATTATGTAACTCTGAAGATTTTTTATTTTTTTCATAAGGCAATAATATCGATTAAAAAATACAGTTTACAATTATACCTACAGTAAACAAATGATCTTTAATATGTTTAGTATAAAATTATAAAATAAGCATATAATGTAACATATTTCACTACGGTTATTTAGTCTACAATGGTCGTGATAGAAGTTACTAGATAGATTTAATTTTTTGTATGAGATCTCGTAACTCTGTTAAGAGCTGAAACAAATTTTGATTAATACATATCATCTTTTATAACATTGCGTTGTTTTATATATTATAATTAGAGCTTACATTTTAGCGTTTGCTGTGATATCATATCTTCATCAAATGTATTTTTGCTTCGACTTTGTCTTGATGGCGTTCCTCGTTTCAAATGAGGAGTCATAGGTAGCACTGGTTTATTTTCAATGCATGCCTCAACTGTAAGAAAAAATAGGATTACAAGTGCAATCGCAAAATTATAATGACTTATGTTATATATATTAATATTCTTAGAATTAAGAATCTCACCATCAAATGCAACACTTTTTCGGGACGATCTTCTCTTTTTATAAGTATTCTTGTTCACCTTTATATCATCTTTATCTGGTTGAGTACAGTTGTTCCTATCCGTTTGCGATAATTTTAACGACTTTTTCCTACTTGATTTTACAGGACTCTCATTCTCCTTCTTATTCCCACTTTCCTTCTTTGGAGTCATCTAGGAAAAATAATTCATCAGTTAGATTCAATTTAATTAAAAGATTATCAAAAA